GTTAAATGTCAAATCTGGATAACATTAAATGACTAAGCCCTTACTCCTGAAAAGCTTTGAATCCATAAGATGTTTTTTTCATATATAACTCATGGAGAAAAAATAAAATATTGGAAACAGGAGATGTCACAAATAAAATAAGGTTTCCTTTGATATTTTATTTCTAAGATCAGAAGGCTCATTATAGGTAAATTTCACATTGCTTTAATACAATTGTCTTTAAATCAAAGCTGTTTTATATAATACTATAATATAAAATTTTATCTCTAATTAATTTTAAAAATCTATGGTCATATTTCCAAATATGAATAATGTAAAATAATCTGATGAATTTTTAGAAATTCACTACAATGCATTTCTTTATTTTATAAAAACTTCAATTAGAGAATGCTTCAAAATTAAAATCTTAACTAGTTTTATAAACATCAATTAAGTACTTTTCACACTCAGCATATTTATAGTTAAGAGATGAAAAACAGCTTCTTAGAAACTAGTACCCTTTCTCCAGAGATGGGCTGCTCATGCTACAAATAAAAAGAAGGGTGCAGGGAAGGACGGGGTGGGGGGTGGGGTAGGTAAAGGAAGAGGTTTCACTTATCAATTATCTATCCAAACTTTTACCTAACTTTTCAAGCTCCCTTTATTATTCTTATCTAGGCTAGAATCACTTTAAAAACAACTGCATCAATACCTACCTTAATCTATTTAATAACACTCTTAAAGAACAAGTGTATTTCCCACCAGAAGATCTTTCCATAACTTTGTGATAAAGCATTTCTACATTCCCCACCTACAGCTCCTTCCCTTGCTTTTATTTTAATAAAAATGTTTACATTTCTTCCATCTTAATAAAAATCCTGTTTTGGACCTTGTATATCCATTTATCATAACCTTTAAAGACAGTGGCATTGATGTGTAATCTACTTCATTGCCATTTCCCTTATTAATCCACTCTTGCCTCTTTCTCTATTGTTTAATGGACATTTCTCTATTATTTAATGGACATGGAGCATTTCAATGGATGCTTTTCAGTTAACTCTCTTTGGCATCTGACACAATAGACCATATTCTCAAAGTTTGCTACTTTTCCATCAGTGTTATTACTCTTTTTTTGTAATATATTCCAGTCTCTATATTCTCAGTTAAATAGATTTATAGGTTATAGTATTTATTATCATAAATAATAGAATCTTTACAATACATTTTAATGAGATCAGGAGTATTCCCCCAAAACTTTTGTTTTACACAGTAGCATGCTGGTTATTTCATTATCAAAGCACTTATAAAGAGTTTAAGAAAAATCATGTTTTATTTTTTCTTTGTAGAGATGAGGTCTTATTTTATTCCTCAGGCCAGTCTCAAACTCCTGGCTTCAAGGGATCTTCCTGCCACAGCCTCTGAACATGCTGGATTATAAGCATGAACCATCCCACTTGGCCAAATTACATATTTTATATATATATATATATTTTTATTTTTTTATTTTTTTATTTTTGAGACAGAGTCTCATTTTGCCACCCTCGGTAGAGTGCCACTGCCGGCATCATTGCTCACAGCAACCTCAAACTCTTGGGCTCAAGCAATCCTCTTGCTTCAGCCACCCCAATAACTGGGACTACAGGTGACTGCCACTGCACTTGGCTGGTTTTTCTATTTTTAGTAGAGACTGAGGTCTTGCTTTGCTCAGCCTGATCTCAAACTCCTGAGCTCAGGTGATCCATCGCCTTGGCCTCCCAGAGGGCTAGGATTTTAGGTGTGAACCATCATGCCCAGTCCCAAATTATGTATTTTAAATGAAAACTCTAATGATCTAAATTTGGTTATTTTATCTTTGACAAAAAGCATTACAATATCCATCAAATGTCAGAAAAGAAATACAATGGTTTCTTCAAGGGAAATATTATATTTTGACAACAAATGTAAAAATAAATGATTTTTGAAAAACACATTAAATATTTTCTTTTTTTTTTTTTTTTCTTTTTTTGAGACAGGATCTCACTATGTCACCCTCGGTAGAGTGCCGTGGCGGGTGTCACAGCTTACAGCAATCTCAAACTCTTGGCCTTAAGCAATTCTCTTCCCTTAGCTTCCCAAGTAGCTAGGACTACACGCATCCACCACAATGCCTCAGTGTATGTGGCCGGCACCAAAACCACTGTGCTATGGGCACGGAACTGTAAAAAGTACTTGGAAAAGAGTGTATTGTTGTCAAAAATAACGTCACTAAAGAAAACACATATAATCACATTTCAAAAACTTGTACTAGAAATTTTTATTTGCTTTTAAACCTATGAAAGAATTTTTGTAGGTTTCGAACCTGTTAAAAATTTTCAAAAGCAAACCTTCAGATATTTGAAGAACAAATTTTTTTTTTTTTTTTGGAGACAGAGCTTCAAGCTGTCCCCTTGGGTAGAGTGCAGTGCCATCACAGCTCACAGCAACCTTCAACTCCTGGGCTCAAGTAAGTCTCCTGCCTCAGCCTCCCAAATAGCTGGGACCACAGGCGCCCACCACAATGCTCAGCTATTTTTTGGTTGCAGCTGTCATTGTTGTTTGGCAGGCCTGGGCTGGATTCAAACCCACCACCTTAGGTGTATATGGCTGGGATCTTAGCCACTTGAGCCACAGGCGCCGATGAAGAACAAAATTTTTATTGTTTTTAAATCTATCAAAGAAATTTTGTAGGTTATAAATCAGTTAAAAACTTTCAAAGGAAAATCTTTCAATTAGTTTGTGGGAACAACTAATTTATAAGGGGGAAAATGGCAATTATTAGCAGATTTCAACAAAAAACCTTGAACTGTTTATTAGTAGACATGATTGAAAAAATGTGAGTTAGTTTAAATAGCCAATTTTATATTTGTTTGCTTTGGAGCTACGTATCTTTATGAAGTGTCTCTTTCAACTATGACAGCTGTTAAAAGCAAGTATTTAAACAAATGTATATAGTTCCATAGTCCCAGCTACTTGGGAGGCTGAGGCAAGAAAATCGCGTAAGCCCAGGAGTTGGAGGTTGCTGTAAGCTGTGATGCTATGGCACTCTACCCAGGGCGACAGCTTGAGGTTCTGTCTCAAAAAAAAAAA